GCTGTGGTGCCCCGTTTTAATGATAATTTGTCGCCTTGGCCAGGAAGTAATTCATGATTTATTTGCAGCTGCTTGGTTGCCCTGGCGACCGAGATAAAAGTGTCCTGATTGGCTTCCTGTGGAGTTCCGAGAGTCCTGTCCAATCAGAGGTACAGCACAGGCCGTTCCGACCCGGCCGCCTGGAGCCTGTGACGCCGCCCCGCCGCCGGAGTCATCCCGCCAGCCAGAGGAGTTAAGAGTCCACGTCTTCTAGATCGCTCTTTGAATCGCCGAGCATCATGGGAGACTCTGAGCCCTGCGGGAGAGAAGGAGGCAGAAATGTAACGTATTCACAGAACTTGTCTCGATAAAGCATTCATACGTTTTATTTGTTCATTTCTGCAGCTGCAACTTTAAAATATTTTATTGGAGTTCTGTAGAAACTGATTGAAGTAGAACCTGACAGTGAGGTAGAATCTTGAAATGTTTAATTTAAATTTAAAAAATAGTTTATCACAAAATTAAAATGCTGTAGCTCATTATCTCAGGTTTTTCAAAGTGATGCTAGTAGTTCTGGGCAGGAAGGATTTCCTGTAGCAGTCTGTTTTACAGCGATACTGAATAAGCCTCTGTCATACTCTTGTTGTATGACAATCTCATGAAGAGCAGGTTGATTAAGGGTTGTCTGTAACATCTCACAAATTTACAGCCAAGAATTGTAGTGTTGTGGCATGACCTGAAAATCCGCTTTACTCTAATTCTAATTAAAGTGCAACGAGGTCTGACACACTAAAAAATTCTACCAGACAATGAAAAGCCCCAGAAATTATTGCGATAAAAGGATAATATTGTTATTTTGAGACAATTTTCAAGTAATATATGAACAATGGCATAATAACGCAACTACAAGGCCTATTACAATAAATTTCACCAGACGATAAATCGTCCCAGAAAGTTTTGCGATAAATGATAATATTGTTTCGAGGCCATTTTCTAGTAATACATTAACCATAGCATAATAATGCAAGTTTGCCCTCTCAGACTAATAAACTCTAATCTTGAACAAAACATGTCAAATATTCAAATTAAAAGACAACAACAAAAAAATAAAACGGAAATAAAAACCCCACCAACCAAAAACCACAAGTAAAACGGATTCTGTAGTCTCTGTAAATAAAACTGCCCTTCAAAAATCGTGCCCCATCAGGACGGAAATTATTGAGCTCATTTTAATCGATCATGCAATTAATTATCCGTGTCAGGCTCAGCGACGAGTTGCCTTTGAAAATCACCCGACGCGTTCCTTCCACTTCACATCAGTGCACTGCTTTGTGTCGCTTTCACGTCAAACCCCAATAAAACTTAAAAACTTCCAGGAGCGCGGATACGTTTTTCTATTTCTGAAGGCAAGAACTGAAAAACAATTATAAAGCCTCCATGAGCTAGGCAGTGACACCAGGATTATAATTTCAATCCAACCCACTCATTGTGTGTTCTTTTCATACCAAAAGAAGAAGACAAAGAAACCTCCCGACGATCCTGTGTAGGCATGCTGACAAGAGTCAGAAGAAAGAAAACGGCTTCCAGTCCACGGCTAATAACAACCGTAGGAGGAAACAATCTGCCTCCTCTAATCTCTCCACTGAAGCCAGTGAGCTCAGCCATTTTTATTCCTTTGTTTCCCCTCTTCTTCCTGGCTGTGTGAGCTGAATGTGAGCCGCTGTCACAGCATGAGTCATTTTCAGAGCCCTGCTGCTCTGAGCAGCCGGCAGGGTTGTTGATGATGATGATGATGATGATGATGACTACCTGTCGGAGGCTGCGCTCTGCGTTTTCATTCGCCGGGCTGCCGTCGGAGCCGTTGCTGCTGCCAGACTGCTCCTTCTCGTTTAACAATGCCGTGGCGTAGGCCAAGGTGTCCTGCAGGTGTTAAGACACACACACACACACACACACACACACACACACACACACACACACACACAGACAGAAACAGACGTGGGTTTGACAAGGCAGCAGAAGAGCAGGTGTGACTGCTGATGAGGTTTTGTACGTTCATGCGTGTGAGTACCTGTGCAGAAATGGTGCGCTGGAAGGTTTTATTGGTGGACGTCTCATTGGAGACGTTACTCTGGGGAGTCCAGTAATGTTCAGTCATCTGCAGCGAGCAAAAGAAAAGGATTTCATACATTTCCTACATCTTCCTCTTTCTCTCACACACAAAACTGCTTCATTTCAGCTAAAGGAGAAATCATCTCAACGGAAAAGGCGAACACGTGGGACCTAAACGCAGCACGATGCTCAACGTTGTGGCAAATTAGCAGCTGCTGGATGTTTATCTAAATTGTGGATCACACTGAGATGATAGATATGACTAAGAAACAAGTACTGGAATATAGACAAGTCCAAAAAAAAAAACAAAACAAAACAAAACAAAAAAAAAAAACATCTAAAATGACCGCTTTTAGACAAAAGTCAAACTAAGATATAAAAAACTAAAATAAAATGTTTTAAATGGGGTTTATACACTTTTCCCACAGTATAATTAAAGCACATTTCTAGGATTTTTATGGTAAATTTTCAAACTTTTTCAGAACCACATTTTGGAGATGAAAACAATTCAAATTAACTAAAAAAAAGATAGTTTCTATTCACTGTTATATAATTTATGATTGTTATAATATCTTGCGATTGTATTCTACAAGATAAAGTAAAATATAACAAAGTTTTATGTTTTGACATTTTCTCTGTGTACATCTGACTGGTTCAAGAAAAAAAATTAAAAAAAATAAAAAGATGCTCCAGATCGGTTTACTGTCATTGAGCCATAAATTTGGTGATTCTATCTATCCAAAAACAAGAGAAGTTTGGTCTGATTTAACTTTAGACAGTGAAGAAAAAAGTATTTTATTATCTTTAAATATCTGGCTTCTACTATAAATAACACTTTCCAAAATTAGGCTTTATTACAAAACTCTGGAGTTTGAGCATCAAGCACTTTCAAGGACGTTATTGAAATCTGAGGACCCCGTTTACATTTTTATACTAATATTTAAAATGATCAGTACCAGAACCTCCTGACCCGACCCGATTCCTGCTGCTCATCAAGGTCGAGGAAAACTCTCCCACTCCAAAGATGCAATTTATTCTTATTTTAAATCCATCAGGACGTGAAGTCATTTTCCAACCATCTCCACCAGTCTTTGCAGTTTATGTCTTGCAAAACTTTTTTTTATAGTCGATGCATCACTCTTTGTTTATATGAACTCCGGTTTTCTGCTTTAACTCCAAGCCTTTTTTATGCGTCACAATCAAGTTCACAGCATAAGAGCGACTGCAGCAGCTCCTTAATGCTCTGCTCACGCTGAAAAACTAATCACTGCATTTTATGACTGTCGAAGCAAAGCGCCAACAGTCTGAAGCAGAAGGAGCGATTAACTGCATCCGCGCTTTACCTCGTTATAGGATGAATCATCAATAAGTCACATCAAAACAGAGAGAAACATGCCAATGTTTGGCCAGAACTAAAGCAAACGCTCCTGTTGAGTCAGATATATCTTTAAAGATAAAGATTCTTGTTGGATGATGCGTTGCTATGAGTTATTTTAATTCGCCTAATCTGAAATGATTTAAGATCGGGGAAGAAAAACTTCGATTTGGACGTTTAATCTGCAGGAATCAGTCAAAAGTTGGAGTTGGAGCAACTGGTTTAAGGTAAAAGTTTCCTCTCGGTTCCTGTTTGCTTCGAATAAAACCACAACAAATGGAAGAGATTCCAACAGAGCAATAAAAAAAAAAAAAAAAAAGCTCCTATTATTGTACGTTTCTGTAAGAATGATTCAACAAGCCTGCCTTTTTCTGCAACCACTGCACGGCCCAGCTCCAGTGGCCAGACAAATCTTTGAAGTAATCTTTGGCTGGAGGACACCTGTGCAAAAAAAAACAAAAAAAACAAATGGACACTCAGATACAGTATCATATAAAATAATTCAAGACAAGTAACAAGTAGTAAAGGAAGATCTGATTAAATATGTGGAAAAGTACTGTTAACTACGGTGGAGGATCTGTGATGCTGTGGGTCTGTTTCTGTAGGAACTTCTTGAAAAACACTTAACAATAATAATAATAACAATCCATGAACTTCTTCGTCAAAAAAACATGACATTAGTGACTTAATGAAAAGCATTATTCATTCAATTGTGGATACTTTTTTCCTCCACTGGTTCATTTTGATTCTTTTTCAGTACGAGCTAACGCTAATGTTAATGTAGCAAAACAAGATGGAGGATGACGATCATGGAGCCAATAGACGTGATGGATGCTGTTTATTTAACACTACAGTAAAGCAGTGGCTGGTTACACTTATGAAGATGTGCAGACATTGTAAAAAGTTATGGCTTCACGCCTCTTAAAATTGTTTTAGGTCATTTTTAATGAGGCCAGAGGAAGAACCGCGCACTATATGCAACACAAAGTTCTGCAGAGTTTTCATTTAACCACCTAATCTCATTTTATGCACCATTAAAAATATGTAAACAAACAAACAAAAAAATGCAATAAAGAAATAATTTAATATTTTTTCTAAATAAGAAAATAAAACATTTTATAGGCTAAAATGCAATAACGCATCACAGGATGCACCTGCAGCTGAATAAATAATACTTAAATAAACCTTGTGAGAATAGACTTTTTTTTTTTCAATAAAGTGATAAATAACTGGAGGTGATCAATAGGAGAATTTGACATATTTAAATGAGCTAAAACTATGGTAAATATGGTAGAACATATTTATGTTTTTTGTACAGTTTTGGCTTAATTACTGTTCTTAGTGTTGGCTTTTTTTGTCAGAAAATGGCATATTTTAGCGTCTGTATACTCCTGTAAATATTTAATTCATGACTAAATCAGTTGTCGATTATTTTGATAAATCAATTCCATCACTATTAATACAATAGATTGTTCCAGCTCTATTGCAAAGCGTTGAGTAGCGCTCCCATCAGCCGCTGCTGTGCACAGGAAAATAACTAATTCCTTACAAGCAAAAAAAAAAAAAAAATCATGCTACTTGAATGCTACTACCAATTTTACCCTATTGTCTTTAAACTTTTTTTTTTTTTTTTTTTTGTAAAAAGAGGACACCTGTCTAACTATAATAATCAGCTTGAACCTCTGCATACTCACTTCTGAGCTAGTGTGACCAGGAACTTCACACACTGGTAGCAGCGCCTGCTGTCCACATTGTTGCTCTGGTGCATCAAAGCTGAGAGGCGACAGCGTTGCGTTAGTTTTTCCTCACAAGCTACGATGCTTTCTGTCGTAACGTTAAACCAGTAAATGACAACGATTAGGACCGGCCCTCCTTACCTAACAGGCCATTGTCCGACTCAAAGGCGTACTTGAGCCTCTGGGACTGCAGAGGGTCTTCAACAACCTGAGATGAAGGATTAGCTGGAGGTTAACGCGGACGACAACCAAACGGCGACGAGAGTGATGAGAGTGACGAGAGTGACGAGAGTGACGCTCACCAGTATCTCCTGCAGCATCTGGAAAACGTTCTTCAGCTCGTGAGGCGGAGCCGTCTCCATCTGACTCTGTTTTAAAGGTTTTATGTCAATATTTACTAAATTGGCGTCAGATTTTTTTTTTTTTTTTTCTGTAAAGATTGCGTACCTTGAGTAGCTGCAGCACTCCCAGCGAAAAGCCCTCATTGCAGTATGAGCAGTAGGTGACCATTTCTATCAGAAGAGACAGCGGCCCCGACAGCTCGCGCATCGCAAACATCACCTGGAGGGGAAAGACGGCAGCGCATCAGTCAAGAGAGCTTCACACTTTCTGGATCGATTCAGCAAAGTCAAAGATGATTTGTTAACCTCGAGAAGGTAAGGCTGTCCCTCCGGAGTGAAGAGAGAGGCGAGAATGTCCGAGTGCAGTGGGAGGAGCGGGCCGGAGGAGTGGACGCTACTCGCTGGCAGCTTGGATCCCCCAGGAGCTACGGAGGGGGAGCGAAACGAATTAAAACCGACCGTCCGACGAGAGACGAAGGAAGGTAGAGATTTGAAAACCAGAAGGTGGCTCACCGAGGGTCCGCTGGGGGCTGAGGTCAGAGTGCAGCGTCATGAGCGCCAGGCTGCTGTGGAGGTGGAGGAACTCCCGGGCCTGAGCCGGACTCCACCGCCGGTTCTGGAAGAACGACAAGAGCCAACTTAGGACGCCTGCAACCCTGAACCGAACATTTTACAGAGCTTCCGCCGCTCAGCAGCAGAAGTCAAAAATCATAATATTTTAGAACCGAAATACCAACGATAATTATACCTGGTTGTTTTGCCTGTTGGGTCCCAACAGGAAGATGAGCATCCGACGGTAGGCTGAGTGCTTCAACAGCAGCTGGCAGGGGCCGCAACCCTGAACAGACAGGAACTTTTAAAACGCTCTGCGAGGACCTCATTTTCATTTTTTATTTTTATCTCATTTATATTTTCAAAGTTCACGCAGCAGTAAAGATTTACCCTCTGGGTAAAGTTACTGAAGAGGTTGAAGTACTGGGCACAGTTTTTCACGTTCTCAGGAACGTCTTTGTCCAGCAGCGACAGCAAGGCGTCGGTCAGGCTGTCCAGGCCCGGGTCTCCGAAGTGCAGTGCGCTCTCCAGAGTTTTCTCCAGGACGGACGCCACCACCGTCCTCACCTCCCGAACGCTGCACTCCAGCAGGCAAACCCTGCAGCAGAGACGTCAGCAATCAGCCAGAAATCCCTTCTTTTTTTTTTTTTTTTTTCCCTTCCTTCTTTCTGTTTTACTGCTTTTGGCCTTGAGGACGCATTCCAGAATCTGGCACCGTTTGCCAGAAGGCGTTCCCGGCGCCTCAACATGCGATGCTCAGCAGCCAATCGCGCATGTGAATAAAACAATCACCCCATGATTACAAGGCGGGACGGTCAAACCCCTGACGCTCTTCTCTACAAACCCCCCGTGTTTCAGGAAACTGTCCCTCCGGCTCCGGATGTTTACATTCCAGAGACCGGCTCTGTTGTTTCGGCCAATTGGCATCTAGGAGGCGAGAGCCACGCACGCGCGAGTGATTTTGAGACGCCAATGCTACATTCCGACTCCAGATGCAGACAGAGTGAGGATTTCGCATTCTGTTGAGCGTGTTGGCATGTCAACTAGAGCTGCAGGAGGCGGATGGAAACGATCTGCAGTGGTGTGCACAGATATTAAAAAGGGCGCCTGGCGCGGCCCGCGGAACTGCAGGCGGACTTTTGGTTGCCTCTTCCAGATTATAATGTCACTGCCATTTTACACACACTCATAAGAAAATAAATACACTTGTGTTTGAAGTTATCTCATAAAAAAAAAAATCAGATTGTTCAAATAAAACAAATAAGAACAATTGTACGTGTATGTATACCCTAGAGACTAGGGCTTGTAAATATATAGCAATAGACGTGGTCAATATCAATAGATGTTGATATTGAATAGTCAATATTCAGTATTCAGAAAATTCCCTGAATGCTGATCCAGAGCTGCACAGCATTCTGGGGGATGTAGGCAGAGGAAAGACTTTAGTCGGCCAGCTAAGCAAGGGTGGTGGCAACAACTACCTCACTCACAACAACCTGCTGAGTAACTAGTGGTTACCTAGCAACAACCTGTCGAGTAACTAATGGTTACCTAGCAACAACCTGTCGAGTAACTTGTGGTTACCTAACAACAACCTGTTGAGTAACTTGTGGTTACCTAGCAACAACCTGTTGAGTAACTAGCGCAGCAGCAGTTTCAAGTTTCGCCACCATGTCTCAAAACTGAGGATAAAACAGGAAAGGTCATCATGCCATCAGTTTGGACGCATTTCAGATATTTAAATTACACAATACTAATCACAAATTATCAATGAAACATGTATATTGTGATGTGAAGACACCCACAGGAGTGAACACTAATGAAGGGCTTCATATGGACATGAACACAGGGGGTGAAAAAAAAAAAAAAAAAATCAACTCAAAACCAGGATAAATTTGAAGTGCCTTTTACAAAATTATTTTAATTATTAAAATGACAACAATAAAAAAAGGACAAGTGGTCTAGCACCACCTAGTCTGATAAAGGTCTGTTGAACAACTCATCATCATCTTCAGGCAGTAACCGACCTGATGATTTCTCGTCCCTCTGGTCCGACCAGGAACTGCACCATCCACTGACACGCCTCGCTGCTCTTGGACAGCAGCACCTCCACCGCCGCCATCCACTCCTCCGTGTCCACCCTGCAGGAGACACGCTGAATGTGAATTACGCCGAGTTCTCTTACGCTCACTCCTCTCCTGGACAGAAACGCGTCGCCGCACGCGCCGATGGTTGATTACCTGAGTTTCTTTTTGGTGTGCAAGTAGGTGTGGAAGAGAAAGTGGACGGCCAGCTGGAGACTTTCTTTGGCCATGGGCTGGTAGTCTTGGTGCTTCAGTTTTGTCTGTGGAAAAAGGGGGTTTTGATTATTGTATATTGTTTTATTCACAATCTGTAACTGTGGAGTTTTCCTCATCAGACACTGACTGCATTGACCGAAGCCAAGGAGAGGATGAAGCTGAAGTAGTCGCTGTTGTAGACGTCCCTGTTTCTCATGAACCTCAGATTCTCGTCTCTGACCATCTGCAAAACGCACAAAGAGTGAATCTTGGCGTAAGCGTCTTAAAACGTCCTGACGTGACTGACCCGTCAGGCTGAGGCGTTTCACCTGAAAGATGCTGGCGGGCATCTTCTCCACGAAGAGGCCCTTCTTCTCGCCCTTGCGGACCAGGCGCGTCAGGAGCGTGAGGCGGTCGTTGTTGGCCCTCGGGGGCCGAGGAGAGGACTGGGGTGAGACGTCGGGGGAGGACGGGGCAGACCTGGCAACAATGCAGCATTTAAAAAAAGCCGTTTGTGTCTCGTGCCGCAGCTAGCGGTTATTTTAGCAATCGAACTCTCTTGATGATTAATCAGATTTTTTTTAAAAGAAACGGGCACAATTTTCATTTTATTCCATTTTCCCACATAAGCTAATTTTATACAATAGTAAAAATACATTAAAATGCAAATAAATAATTCCATTCCTTTTTTGAAGAAGAAAACAAATATTTTATTTTCTAGATTAATTGTAACTAAAAATACTTGCAGACGAGCAGAAAAACACTTTCTGCTCGTCTGCATCAATACAGTATTGAGCTGATCTGTTGATTATTATTTGGATTAACTGATTAAAAACTAAACAGCAACATGTTTTATCTGTTTTTCTTACAGAATTTGAAGCTGTTGAAACTAAAGCTGCTGTCTGAAGAGTTCTGCAAAAATAAAATTGACTTATTGACAAAGAAGGTTTTTTTTTTTTTTTTTTTTTTTTTTTTTTCTTTGATTTAAATTTTTTTTTTTTTTTTTTTTTTT